TTAGGGCCCCCTCCAGCTGAGGGGAGCCGCCGACTAGAGCCGCCGTCCGGCTCCCCGACCCCCCAAACAAAGGACCCGCCGGGTCCTAGTGCCCGCCTTCTCAGACACCTTCGCGCCTCCGGGTCCTAGCGCCGGCGCATCGCTTGCTGCCCACCCTGCCCACCTCTATCTCTGCGGGTGCACAGTACCTGCCCCCACTTTACTTGCCTTTACCTTTCGTCTTGTGCGCTGGCCTCCAGCTCCCATCCGTCCTGCACCTGCTTTGGCTCTACCCATCTGCAACAGTCCTCTCCACGTGTTTCCCACGCACCCCACTTCTGTGCCCCCCTTCCCACCCCCTTGATCCCTAGCCTTTTGCCCCGCACCTTAGCTTTTTACCACGTTTCCCAGCCTGGTGCAGTATTCATGAGCCCCCCGCCCCCCGCTTTAATTCATCCATCCTCCATCCATCCATCCATCAATCCATCATCCTCCCTACCTCCCTCCAGTTCATCCATCCATGCCTACAAGCCTCCATCCTTTCCTGGGCTTCTTGCCCTGCCCCTTGGCTCTCTCCCTTGACCCCTATTTTCTGTAGGCCCTTTGAGTGCCTTTGGTGAGCAGGCCTGCAGCCCCTTCTGATCTTTGTCTCCTGGGCCCCAGGGAGCACCTGGCCTCGTGGCCTTTCGGGGTGACAACAAGCATCACACCCCTGAAGAAGTTTGCAAGTGAGAAGAGGTGGAGGAGGAGATGGCTTTAATGACACTTGTTCTCCTTTGAGACAACTGACTTCCAGCTCTGTTCCCTCATTCTCCACACTTGGATTTAAGGGACTTAGAAGAGTAGGAGCTGCCCCTTGTCTTTTGCATGCCTAACCCACTCCCACTCATGTCTGGGTGTTACTATTGCCAATAATCATCTCATCCCAAAAAGGGGCAACTCCTTAGTGAGCATTAGAGAGCCAACCTAGAAGGGAGTCCAGGCCACCCTTGGACAGCCCCATGCTGAGTGGGCTAAGATGGGGCCCTTGTCAGGGTCTAGGTGCACTGAGAACCGGAAATGGAGTCAGACGGATTTGGTGACTCAGAATTGATCCCCCCCCCAAGGGACAGGGAGGGGGCTTAGAGGAGGGGAGGTGAGGAGTGAGGTAGGGGGATGGGGAAAGAGCTGCTTTGCACAGCTAAGATGTTTTTGTCATTAACCCAGAAACTGAGGTACAAGGGCAACCCCTGGACAAAGCCCCCCTAAGAAGGGGAGGGGCTTGCGTAGCTGATCAAGGAGACTTTGAAGATGCCAAAGGGTCCAAAGACAGCAGTTTCTCTACTCTATGGCCATCCTATCAGTGCAGGACCTGAGAAGCTGAGTGTAACTTTGATGATACTATGGTAACTTGGGTGGAGCAAACTGAGTTTATGGGGGTGGGGATCTGGGAGGGTACTTGTCTGGGATGCCACAGAGTAGCAGAAAGGACCCATGTAAACAGTCTCAAAAAGGGACTCAGGGACGTGTAGAAAAATTTTAGAACCATTTCCCTTTTAAATGGGGAAGCAAGACCCAGAAAAGAGGCATTTACCCAGAGTTACCCACCTAGTCAGCAGTGGAGCCCTGTACCGTACCTGGGAGTGAAGGGTCTTTATCCTTCTTAATGGGGTCGTCTCATCTGAGAGGGGCACATGAAGGAAAAATGGGCACTTGTGAATGACCCATTGACAGTTTCTCCAGGAACTCTGAGTGCTTGTCAGGGAGTGTGGGCTTCATACCACTGGGCTACAGGCCCTGCTGGGTTGTGGGAAGGGGATGGGCCTTCTGAGCTGTGCTTCTCCTCCAGGGGCTGAACTGGAGGAGAGTAGCAAAAACATGAAGAAGTTGGACGCCATGACCCTCATTAAAGAAGGTGCGAGTCAACACACATAGGACTGGAACTCGGGGAAAATGGGGCCACCTTTTCCCTTTCACTGTGGGAGGTAGCTTGAAGCAGCAAGACTGCTGGGGAAGCCTCATTTTGATAGGTCTGAGTCGGCCAGTTAGTTGTCCTGGCTCCAGTGACCTGTTGTTGGAGACCCTAATCATAGGTGGTTGGTGACCACTTACATGAAGTCCCATGCATCTGGGGTCTGGTTAGATGGGCCTGCGGAAGCTGGGAGCATCCAGCAGAAAAGCCTGTCGTGTGTCAGACGGAAGGCAGGAGTGCCTTCCGAGCGGTGGGGTGAGCGTGCTCTTTGATCTGGAGAAATCCTGAGTCCTTAGCCCCAGCGATCAAGACTTCTGTCATTGCAGACATGTCCATCTTCGGGCACTGCCCCGCCCATGACGACTTCTATTTGGTTGTGTGTAACCACTGCAGCCAGGTGGTGAAACCTCAAGCCTTCCAGAAGCATTGCGGTGAGGGGCGCTCCAGGGAGGTGATGAGGGGACAGGAAAGGTGGCACAGGGAACTCTTAGGACAGTGTCAGTTGGGAGGCCATGTGGGGTAAAGGAAGGCGGTGCCGGGGACAGCTTGTGTTGTAGGTGTCGGGATTATTCGTCTAACAAGCTTGTAGCATCCAGTAGAATTCAGAGGTTCAAGAAGTTTGGTCTAGAGGTTTGAGTCTTGAAGGCTCATTTTTGAATGGGAAGGAGACAGACACTCAGCCCAAGCTCTAGCAGTTTGGGCTCTGTAAAAGAATTGGTGGACTGGTTAGGAGATGGGGGAGGAGGCAGTCAATACCACTCACCTCAGTTGCTCTCTCCACCTCCTGGTGACAGAAAGAAGACATGGGCCCCTCAGCAAGCTTTATGCCCGGGCCCCACCCCCACCTCCAGCCCCTGCCAGCTCTCAGAAATGCCATGTAGTGAATGGGCAGGGCCCAGCTTGTAGAGCCCCAGGTTCTACCAAAACCTCCTCCAGGGAGAAGGGCCAGGGGTCCCGGAGCCGTGGCCATCAGCCTCCTGAGAAGACCCAGAAGGACAACCTCTGGTAAGAGGCTAGAAACCCTCAGAGACTAGCCCTGGCCCTGATCCTGACCCAGGGAAGGGTTGACACTTAAACCTGGGTTGCAGGATACTGCTCATAGCAAGAAATAGCTAACCCTATCTGCAGCTCCTTTCCATATATTCCAGGGAACATGGGCTCCCCATTTTTCCACGCCTCTCTTGGAGCCCACCCAAGTTCCAGAGCTAGGGAGGAGATGGCTCTGGGCTAGAGTCCAGACCCCAGTCCCAGCCTCCCCACCTCCCAGCCCATACCCTCTCTCCACGTGTAGCCTTTTCGTGCCTGTGGTGAATCTGGAGAAGATGTCCAGTCTCCCGAAGCCTGATGGACAAGGAGTCAGGGTGGCTCCACCCTCTGCTTTCCTCAGTCAGCCAGGAGGCCTCCCCAAGGACTCCCCTGGAAAAGTCCCCACGGCCCCCTCTCCTAAAGATCCTCCTGGCAGAGAGAACATCGAGTTAATTCCTGGTGAGGGCTCCAATCACCGGGCCGAAGGCAGCCCCCCGGAGAAGGAGCCCAGTGGAGCCAGGCTGCCTCCTAAAACCCACCGAAAGATGGCTCGTGAGTAGTTATAGACATGAACTCAGAAAGGCGAAGTGGAGACTTCACTGGGCTTCTTTGTTCTTGGGCCAGAAAGGTTTGAGGTCAGGAAAGAGTGGACCTGGCTTGGTCTGGCCATTACAGCTTACAGGGTACAGAAACCCCATTACCTCCTGCCCTGCTTGTTCCCAGGAGGCTTTGCTGCTCCAGGTGTCTGAGCTAGCCTGAGAGACCCTGTGCCCAAGTCAGCAAAGTCACTCATTCCCACCTTGGGCTATTGACCATTATCTCCTTCCTCACATCCCATAGCTGGTTTTCCTGGCATCTCAGATGCCTGTGGCTGCTTTTGCTTCTTGGTGTGGACTGCCCTGCTTTGGGCTGCTAGTCTTCTAAGAGTGCCTGGGCCAGGGATGGGGCTGAGGTAGTTTATGCCCAGCAGGTAGCAAGACCTGAGGGTGAGACTCTCCGGCCTTAGTCCTGCTGTTTCTTGGGCCCTTTGCAGGAAGTGGCCAGATTCTTCCTTGGATTGAAAAAAAAAAAAATGGACCTGAGATTCATTGGAACCTCTTTCCCCACAGGTAAAGAGTTTGACCTCAACAGGCAGTGTGGGGTCATAAATCCAGAGACCAAGAAGATCTGTACGCGACTATTGACCTGCAAGGTAACCCCCTCCCTCTGCATGGTGATGGGAGGGGTCAGCATGACACAGAATCTTGGAAAGGAACATTCAGAGGTTATTGGAAACTCAGTTCACGGAATGGGCCTAGGCATACACCAGGGAAGGGGAGAAGGCTACTCGTGGTGGACACAAGGTAGGAACAGTAGATAGGGAATACCTTCAGATCTCCTTACCCAGCAGAGAGTTTCGGCCCCATGAGAGAGTAAAATGGACACACAAATACCCCCACCCTGGGTCAAAGGCCCACACCCCTCAGTCCTGCTCAGATTACACCTCCCTCCCCCTCTCTCTGCCCTCTTCTAGATCCACTCAGTGCACCAACGCAGGGAGGTCCCAGGCAGGACCAAGGATTTTGACGTGCTAGTGGCTGAACTGAAAGCCAACTCTCGCAAAGGAGAATCTCCCAAGGAAAAGAGCCCAGGAAGAAAAGAGCCAACTCTCGAGCGCCCCTCTCAGGAGCTTCCCTCTGCCATCCAGGGTGCAGCGGTAGCAGCTGCCCCCAGCAGCACCTCTGCTCGTTCTAAGCAGGCCTATCCATACTGTGCATTTCCCAGGTATGTTCAGAGTCTTAACAATACCTAGCTTGGGGGTACTCAGTCCCCAAGGTGTCAGGGAACCCTGGAGGTAGGCCCAGAGTGTTCTGGAGATGTGCTCACTTCCCCTAAGCATGGGAAGGTAACTAGAACCCTGCCAGTGGTGTGAGGCAGGTGACTGTCCTCTTTCTACCCAAGCACACTGCAGCACTCCAGCCTCTGTGAGGTAATGCCAGATACAATCCCTGGGTTATGAACTCTTTTTTCAGCTACTCCCATGGGTTAGCACTTGTCATCAGAGAGCTGAACGGGCCAGGACCCTGGGTCGTCATCCCAGTAGCACTTTGTGTGCAGAGCCTGCCTTATGGAAGGAGCCTCAAACGCACCTCTGCCTGTAGCAGGAGGGGTAGACATGGAGCACAGGCGGGGCTCCTAGACAGGCTCACGGGAGAGCGTGATCAAGAGGAGGGTTGAGGGAGTTGACTAGGCTGAGCGGGTGTAGTTAAGCCGGGAAGATTTTGCTGAGAAAGCAAGTCTGAAGCAGATTTTTCTCCCTGAAGAGGCCAGGCCGAGGAAGGGGCTGGGGAGAGAATCCCTTGGAAGCGGTGGCCCTTGGTTCTCTCTCTCTCACTTAGTGAGCAATGTTGTACTTTCCTGTCCCTTCCCAAGTCCTTCCTCTTCCTCTGAGTGCCCTGACTGTTTGAGCGTGGACACCCCCTACGCTGATCCTGCATCATTCACATCACCCTCATGTCCCTTTGGCCCTTCCAGGTCCCAGGCCTCCTCTGAGAGTGAGGTGGATGATGAAGGTCCCTGTGGTGGTGATGGGGATCCAGGCCTGTTCCCTTTCCCTCTGCCCCGGGGTGGGGCCCAGGCCTCCAGCGAGGAGAGTGAGGAGGAGGGGACCTCTGATGACCTCCACTTTCCCCCTGACTGCCATTATGCAACCCGGCCCCCTAGGCCACAGGCGGTAAGGACACAGGACAGGGAGCTGGGATTGAGGGTGGCTAAGTCTCGTAGGCAGATGCCTTCCTGTATCTCAGGTTCTACCAACCATGTTCTTTCCTCTGCCTCCAGTTTTGCACATTTGGAAGCCGGCTGGTGAGCCCAGGATGCTACGTGTTTAGCCGCCGGCTAGACCGGTTTTGCTCAGCACTCAGCTCCATGCTGGAACGGCACCTCAGCTCACACATGTGGAAGTGAGTTTTATGGACTCAGAACTTAATTTCTCAGGCTTGAGTACCCTTGGGCTTCAGAAGCCCCAGTCTGGTGTGCTTTGGCTGATTGCTAAGAACCCAAATTGGGTGTGGCATGACCGGGTGAGACTGGGTAGCCTGGAGGAAGGCACGGGTGGGTGGTCGGGGTCAATCTAGACTCTTACCCATCACTTCCAGTACCTTTTAGGTAATGTAGCATGGGGAAATACCCAAACTGAGACCAAAAATGAGATTGTTAATGGGTCTGCCTGTTAGTTCATATGCCTTGTATTGATAGGTCATTCCTTCTCTTGTGCCTTCCTTGGCTCTTAGTTCCAGTGTTTCCCAGCAGGGGGCAGCAGCTTTGGGGCTTTGCTGGCCATCTGAAGGTGCAGAGACTGGTGTACCTTAGGGAGGCCCTGGAGTTTGCTCAGTATCACAGCGAAGCTCTCTCTTTGCTGCAGGAAGATCCCACCAGCGGCTGAACCTCCATCCCATCTTGTCAGTCCCTCCTTAGCTGATCCCCTGAGTCCATCCTCTATGGGCAGCTGCCCCCGACTCCCAGGCCCATCCCCCCGACCTGCCTGCCCAGCCTCCATACCCCCCATGAAGGACAGCCTTGTCCCTAGCTACCCTGCAGGCTCTCCCAGTGTAGCAGCTGCCTGCAGCCAGGCAGAGTGCATGGGCGGTAGCCAGGCTATTACCTCACCACTGCCTGCCAATACTCCATCTCCGTCCTTCAGCAAGCTGCCACCTTCCAAGGCCAGCAAGTCGTCCAAAAGCAAGGAAGGGGTGGAGATGGAGGCCCCTTCTCGAAAGCGGAAGTTATCCCCTGGCCCTACCACTTTCAAACGGACCTGCATCCTGGAACCTGCTGGAAAAGGCAAACCCTCTGGCTGTCGGGGTCTCTCAGCCAAGACTAAAACAACCCTGAGCATGGGGCTTAATGGAACAGTGGGGCCAAGAGTGAAAAGAGCAGGTCCCTTGGACTGTCGGGGTTCCCCTCACTCATCCCCCATACCAGTCAAGGCTTCTCAAATAGAGAACCGGGGAGCAGCTGGACACCCAGCTAAGGTCCTGCCAACCAACTGCCTCTCCGAGGAGGAGGTAGCCAAGAAGCGGAAAAACCTGGCCACTTACTGCCGGCCAGTCAAGGCCAAGCACTGTCAGGCGGGTGTCCCTCCTGATGGCACCTGCTCTGTTCGTCGTAAGAAACCAGGTCCAGCCCTGCCCTTTGAGGAGAAGTGCTCTACACTGAAGGTACCAGTCCAGCTTCCTGAAGGACATGGGCAGAGAGGGGTCAGGAGGGCTGAGGCTGGGGAACACAGTAGGTACGTGACGTGGAGAGGGTGCTAAGGAGATGACTTCAGAAAAGGGAATAAAGGGGAAACTGAGAGAACTCCTGGGCCATCTACACTAGGGAGAGGTTGGTTAGTTGTCTCCAAGGTGATCCCAGCTTCTGCCTGAGGGACCTTTCCTCTGCCCAGCCTCCTCCTTTGGGCTTGGGACATGCTGTCCCATCCCACCTTTACTTGTGTTTTAGTCTAAGGATCATTTCTTCTTGAGCCATCTGTGGCCCTCCTTCCAGGACTTGGAGCTACTTTTCCTAAAGGGAAAGGGAGTTTGGGTCCCAGCATCCTGAGTAGCTGATGGGTGGACTGCTGTAGTTTGGTTCTTCCTCTGGCATTAGGACATCAGAAAGCAAGTACTCAATTTAAGGTCCGCATAGTCATTTCAGATTATAGTAGATTCTCCAGGTTTCTAGTAAAGCTTGCAGTTAGGTTTATTTACCCTTTCTGTTGGAGGGTGCTTTCATCTACCCTTGTGATCTCTATAAGAAGGGATTTCTGGGAGGTGAGACAGGATCATAGTCTCCTGATTGAGGCATGAATTAGGCGCATGCTCACTGTCCTGGCACCTATGAGGGAAATCTGATAGTTAGTAAAGGACCTGCCTCTGTGTGTATAGGTGTGTGTATGTGTGCTCTCCAGGTTCACTACCCAGTCTGCCTCTGTTAGGCTGGCATTCTTTTTCCCCTTGCTCAGTCGTATTTATCAGGCCAGCCAAAGGAATTCAAGGGTTAGCCTAGATGTTCACAGGGAAGGATACTAGGTAGGCCCCTACCCTGACCCTGTCTCTTACCTCTTGTCTTCCTGCAGTCAAAAGCCCATTAACGAGAAAGTGCCTGCCCACTGCAACGGAGCCGCCAGCACCTCCTCCCCTCCAGATCCGGGCCCCAGGCTGCTGCCGCTTTTTATAACTTTATATTATTTTTTTTAAGAAAAAAAAAACTCTTTAAAATACCTCAAGACTGTCTCCCTGTTCTGTTGCTGCTAAGAAAATATAAAAACAGAAACATAGAAAAGGATGAAAAATGATGTAGCTGGACAAGTGTCTTTACTCTCCTCAGCCCCGTCCCAAGAGGCTGAGACGATAAGCAGTACACACTCACACACACACACACACACACACACAGGGCACACAACCTGGAGCTGGTGTCAGTGGGCATCTCCTTCCAGAGAGGATGAGAAGGCGGATGGCCCTGAATGAGCGAGGCATCCCAGAGAGACAAGTCTGGCTCCTCTGGGAAAGGAAAGGATGAAGGGAGGGAGTTTTTGTCCTGAGGGTTTGTTTACGGCCCTTTTCTGATTTTCTAGCAACTCGGTTTCCATTCCTCTACAGAGTATTTCCTCGGTCTCTTTGGCTGTTCTTGCCCTTCCCACTTCTAAATGCGGCCTTAGTTTGTCAACCATGTTGAGGTTGAACTTGGTGATAACTGCTCTAGAAGTCCTGACCCGCTTTTTTTTTTTTTTAAATATTTATTTATTTATTATGTATACAATATTCTGTCAGTGTGTATGCCTGCAGGCCAAAGAGGGCAGCAGATCTCATTTCAGATGGTTGTGAGCCACCATGTGGTTGCTGGGAATTGAACTCAGGACCTTTGGAAGAGCAGGCAATGCTCTTAACCGCTGAGCCATCTCTCCAGCCCCCCCGCTTTTTTTTTTCTTTAATTATGTGTGTGTGGGTATGTGCATGTGATGTCTGTAGAGGCCAGAAGTGTGGGATCTCCCGAGCTAGTTCCAGTAAGCTGTGAACCCCGGGACGTGGGTGTTCGGGTCCTGTGCAAGAGAAGTACTAGTTGTTAACCCCTGACCCATCTCCCCAGCCCCTGCCGCCTGAAGAACAGTGTAAAGCTTCTCTCAGATAGGCTGGGCCATACATTTTTGGAGGTAATAGTGTTACAAATAGTGTTACAGAACTTGAGGTTGTGGGAGAGGCCCTGGTTCCTCTGGATCACCTCGCTCCTCAAGGCTTCGTAGCTGGTGTGGAGGTGACAAAAACTGAAAGTGCCTCAGGTCTTTGGAATATCTTATGGGGGACAACTACTCCTGTAAATAGGGATGAGGCTACGTCTTTCGGTTCTCATTTTTTAATTCACCAGGTTTGGGTCACTATGTTTTGGCTTTTTCTTTTCGTTTATGTTTAGGCAGGGAGGAATCTCGTACCTGAACATGCTAGAAATGTCTACAGAGTGAGCAGCCAGGGGAATCCAGTACTTCTGGAAAGCTGCTCAAAACACTGGGTCACGCTCTTGGGTCAGCAAACCAAGTGTGTGATTTGGGATTTCGCTGATGTCAGTTGCTACGGATGTAATTTTCACTGGCTGCTTAAGATACCCTTGTAGATACAAAAGTAGAAGTAAAGGTGGGTTGGGAGCTTGGTTAGGTCACAGAGGTTTCCGGGAGCCGCCCTTCGGGGCCCGAAGCGCTTCCCCCCCAGTCTGCAGAGGGCGCTGTGGGCGCCTCTACCACACGGCCCCGCAGCCTCCCCGGGGAGGAGCCTCTCCTGTAGCCGCCGCCGCCTCCGCGATCGCAAACCCGGAAGAAGCCTCTGATTGCTGGACTGTACCGGCCGGCTTGGCATTGCCATGCTGCTCGAGGAGGTAGGTCTGGTTCCCGCTCCAGCGAGGGAGCCGAGACTGACTCGCTGGCTGCGGAGAGGCAGTGGGATCTTGGCGCACCTGATAGCTTTGGGCTTCACCATCTTTCTGACTGTGCTGTCCCGGCCAGGAACCAGTGAGTGTGCAAGGGGCGGGGCTATGAAAAGGGGCGGAGCCTAGGTGCTGGAGGGGCTGCTTTGGGCGCGCTTGGAAACAGAAACCTAGACCCTCAGCTGAGGAGGGGCGGGTCGAGGAGTGGTTGTAAAGGCGTAGTGGGAGGGTCCCCGGAAATCCTGGGAGGGTGGGACTTGAAAAGACAGAATTGACATTTCCTTAGAATGAGGTCCCTTATGGAAAAGCGCGAGGAGGGTCTCAGAAAGACTAAGGTCTACTCTAGGTCTGGGCTGTCAGCAGATGCAGAACCCAGGCCAAGGTGGTGTAAGGGCCCTTTGGCCGCTACCCCCTTGTGATGAGTTCCTGATTCTTGCTTAGGCTTGAGACGGTATGCTGACCTTTCCCTTGTGGCCAGATTTTTGCAATATCAGTGATGTCCAGCTGTCAGCCTGTTCTCTTTGATTCTTACTTAGGTCTTTTCTCCTGGCACCCTGTGTTCATGGCCTTGGCGGTGAGTTTGAATATACTTAGCTTAACCCTTGGGGAAGCATTCAGTTTTTCAGCCTTTCTAAAGATCAGAGAGATGGGGGCAAAGAAGGCTTCATCTTTCCCTGAAACCTATAGGATTGGGGGAAATGTAGTAAACTACCAGGGGCTTGAAGTTGGGGAAGGGCTATTTCTCCTCGAGGGTCTAAAAGGAAGAAGTAAGAGGGATGTTATCAAGGCCTTGCTGTCTGTGGTCCAGAAAGGGTGTGTGTGAGACAGGAAGTCCCATGTTTTTCTGGACGCGGGATAAGACCTCCTTTTTCTCGGGCCCCATGCAGACCAGAGGTTCACTGACCTTCTCCTGTGTTTACAGTTCTGTCTCTGCATGGCTGAAGCTATCCTTCTCTTCTCACCTGAGCACTCCCCGTTCTTCTTCTGCTCTCGAAAGACCCGGATTCGACTCCACTGGGCAGGGCAGACCATAGCCATCCTCTGCGCTATCCTGGGTTTGGGCTTTATCATCTCCAGCAAGATCCGCAGCGAGCTGCCCCATATGGTGTCCTGGCACAGCTGGATAGGAGTTCTGACACTCGTGGCCACCACAGGACAGGCACTGTGTGGGCTCGGCCTCCTCTGTCCGCGGGCAGCCCGGGTCTCAAGGGTGGCTCGCCTCAAGCTCTACCATCTGACATGTGGCCTGGTCGTCTACTTGATGGCTACAGTAACAGTACTCTTGGGCATGTACTCAGTGTGGTTCCAGGCCCAGATTAAAGGTGCAGCCTGGTACCTGTGCCTGGCACTACCGGTGTACCCAGCCCTGGTGATCATGCACCAGATCTCCAGCTCCTACTTGCCAAGGAAGAAAGTGGAAATGTGAGTGCCTCCAAACTCTGAGCCTAGGCGGGATTCTTGGACTTCAGCAGTTCCTTGGTCTTCACGGGACCCACTTCAGAAGCAGACAATGTTTTGCACTTCATGGTTGAGCCACAGGGTGCAGAAACCCTAGCTGCTACTTCTGAGGGATGATCTGGTGGGCTCCAATGGGGAAATGTACTGCTGGGTGCAAGTGGAAGGTTCTGGAGAACCTGAAGCCTCACCTTGATGGGACACAAAAGTATTAGGTGGTGGTGCTGATGGTGACGGTGTTGATTATTTGCTTATGTGCCTAATGAAGAGTTGAGTTCCTGTTGGTTATGAGTGACAGCCACAGACAGATATTGGGGTCCCTTTTGAAAAAGCAGTACTGTGGAGAGCCCGTGGTCTCTTTGGCTGTGCTGTACAGTCACCCTTAGACAAGCTCCATATCTCAGGACCTCAGCTTCCTCATCCTTTAGCATTCAGTGTCTGGCAGATTGATATCACTGAATACCCTCTTAGCTCTGGACCATGCGAACAGCTCAGGATGTAATTCTTTCCTCCATTCTTCCTTCACTCCCGTGGAAGGACATCTCTATACTTGCACCCTTCAGAAATCTGTGCTGGCTCCACTCCTGAACCAAGGAACAAGGGCCACGAACCATGGAAAGAAGGGACCGAGGTGAGGGGCCCCTAGACAATAAGATAGTAAAGGCACTAAAGTCACTTTAAAGTTCTTTGGAGGAACAGAAGGGCATTGGCCTTAACTAAGCCCTGGACTCTTGGCCTCCTTAGCTCAGCTAAGAACTTCCTTCCGGCTACCTCTGGGTCTAGATTGTAGAGTCTGGGCATTCTCTCAACGTCCATTCTCAGGGCAGAGGAGTTCTGGGCATCTGACACTTTGCCCTTAGGACTTAGGGTATTTACTTGGCACATTGCTCCAGGGAACTATTCTGAGGCTTTTGGAACAAAATAAAAACCGGGGAGTGGAACCCTCTTGATTCAAGGAACTCGGTGTCTCCCTGGTTGCCCTTCCCTTCTTGTCATTTAAGTTTTCCTTAGTTGTTTCCTGCCAGTCCCTTGGCTTAAGAGTGGGATGATTTTGGTACCAGCTGGGCTCTCTTCCCTGCCAAGATACCTCCTTGGTCCAGATGAGTTCCTCAGAGCATCTCTAGTGGTGAGGGCTGGATGTCAAACCACTTAGCTGTGGTGTGGCCAGTCCAGGAGACAAGCCCTTTATAGATCCTAATAAGGAATAGAGATTGCCGAGCCAGAAAATGTACTCGCCCAGCTTTCTCCCTGGGAGGCAGAGCCCATCAGAAACTATGGGAGGCCTGCAGTATAAGGGCTTGAGCTCCAGGTCCAGAGACAAAGGAGAAGTATCTGTTCTATGTTTCGGATCCTCTGAAGATTTAAGGCCTCTTCTCTAGGTAGCTCAGAAATTAGGCGGGTGGGATTCAATAGTATGGGAATGGGGACCATAGGGCTGAAGTGGCCTCTTAGTGGCCCTCACTATGCTTTTCCTCAGGGAGATAGCATCTCTCGTAAGCTGTCTAAATACAGCTTACTGAACAGAGGCTCCTGCAGCGCAGAGGGAAACCATTCTTGTCTTTTTCAACGCCGGCTCTCCCTCTCAAACTATCCAGTGTGCTGTGAGCTTGGAAGGAATGGTTACTGGGCCACATGAAAGAGGGTCTCACTAGGGTCACTTTGATGTAGGGCTCTGTCTCCTTCCCATATCAATGCCCATGCTGGGGGCTCCCCAGAGTGGGCCAGGTAAGGTTCGGTAGCATGTTCTCAGAGCAGAGAGGCAATGCCGGAAAGCCTGAGCCTGCCTGAGGTGTTGCCTCCTCCCAGGTGGTGCGGGGGCTGGTGGGCGGGCGGGCAGGCGTGCTGACAGCCGGCAGTTTG